TCCTTCCTTCTTTTTTCTTCTTTCTTTCTTTCTTTCTTTCTTTCTTTCTTTCTTTCTTTCACAAAATGGTCAGACCCTCCTTTTTTTGAATTCTAGTGTAAACACGGAACAAATGTGTAGCTCATCATAATGGACATCTGTTACAGGAATAGTGGCGAGCTCGTATCTCCCAGATTAATCACTGTTTCTATTCATTTGGAATTAGCAACCTGTGACTTCAAGTAACTCCCTGATGAAACAGAACACACATTCTTTTCACAGATGTATAGAAATAGGAATAAATCTACAATTTGTCAAGTGCTCCAGATGCGGGACACAGTGCATGCTTATAATAAGAAAATATAATAGCTGTCTTAGACTAATACACGGTGACTCTGACAAAGAGGAATTTATATAGTCGAAACTTCTTGAAAGCAGCCTCACCTGCATAAGTGTTTTCTAAACTCTGGCCCTGAGGGCCTGTAGTTTCCTGACAAAGTTTTCTCATGTTATTTGTCCTCCTTGGAGACTCGAAATTCTTCATCACTTCGAAGCAAGATAGAAATTTGGAGGCTATGAACAGAATTATCGTCTGTAGGAGCCAGGGTCTTACTGGCTACCCTCCTTTGTCAAGGTATGTTTTCAGAAAGAGTGCATTTCTGTGTGCTAGGACTGTGTATCCAAGACATCGATCATATACGGATCATTGAGTACAAGTCCGCATAAGCTAATGATTCACAGTTGTAACCCACTGCACGCTCAGACGGAATATTGCACTCAAACCCAAATAAGGAGTGTGCAGCATAAAGTATTTGTTGAATTCATTTGTGCTATGAATGATGCCCGCATTTACAACGAGGCCATTCCTTCGTTTGGCAATGGTTTCTCGATCCTGTTCCGTCAGAACCTACTGGTCCAATCTTGGTGGCATTCTAATTTGGGATACGAAGACCTGAACTTTTTTCTTTAAAAAGATTCGTCTAACGAAGGAGCCAGATGTGTCTACGCATAAGGCCAATACCGCGATAGAGCCTCTGATAGACATCTGCACTGCAGAACAGTCAATCTCTCTTCGGTGGGCTGTAGACAGCAAGAAGAAATTCAGAAAAGACTAGAGACTTTGAGAAGATGGTGTCTTAGCGGAGTCCCGAAAGAGGGTCATTTATCTGGGGCTTTGGGGAGAGTACTGGACACAGGGTAGGGACAGAGCGGAAATGTCACTGCTCATCTTCCATAGGTTGCGTCGTGCTTCTATTCAGCTTGGGGAAACAAACTTTAAGAGCGTGAGAGATGTAAGCAAGAAAATGATATAGCAGGGTCAGGGTTTGAGAGGAAGAGATAAGGGATAGTTTGGGCCACTTGTAGCTCTTATAATCTGATGGTAGGGGAAACATCAAGTGGTCCACCTCTTGTGTCCTGTAATTGACTATGCTGAGGGTAGACAAGATAAAGAGAAAACTGTAGACCAAAAATGGTCAAGTATTGGGCGCCCGGCTGGTGGGCAGAGCTTGTGACTGTTGATCTCGTTGTAAGTTTGAGTTGCACGTGGTGTGCAGAGATGACTTAACAATAAAATATTTTTAAAAATGAGTAAAAATGGTCAAATATTGGTGCAGTCTATTGGTCAAATATTGGTACGTGGGGTTCAGTCTAATAGGTGTAACATGCGTGTACACGGTACAAAAATCGCAAAGCACAAAAGAGAGTGAAAAGTAGGTCTCAATCCTTTCCTTCTCCCCTACCCCTCCATTTCCTTCCTCAGAGGAGACCACTGCTAGAGTTCTTCCAAAAGGTATTCTTGCCATATTCAAGCATTTCCATCATGTAACACGTTGTTAAAATGGGGCTCTTCTAGGGTCACTTTTGGCTGAGGAATGAACACAATGACCGCCACATTCCAAGATACCACCAGGACAGTCATTCTCAGTAGACTGTGGAAAACCTGAAGAGAGGAGTCACCGACATGGAGGGTAAGAGTTCAGAGGCGCTTGTGGGGAGGGGTTTCCTTGTGGGAAATGGCACTGAGGGTCCCACTGCTCCTTCCCCCTCAAGAATGAAGGCAGGGGGACTCTTATCCCTAACCCCTGGCCTACTGGGGGGAGTGTGTCAGCGAGACCGAACTGAGACATGTGAAGTCTGTTCCTTGCATCTGAGGAGCCTAGAAGGCTGGTGCCTGACTCACCTGATGAAGCCCGGATGTACTATGATCAGAGGGAGGGGCCTCTTTCTGGAAGGAAACTGCCCTCCCTCCAGGGTTGCATGGATTCAGAAGACTTTACGTGGAGTACATGATGGGAATATTGGCCCACAGTTGTTTTAACAGGGATCTTGTAGCAGGGTGTTTGTTGCAAGTCGGTTTCTCCCGGAAGTATGCCGTGGGAAGGAGTTCGGTGCGCGCATGTCGAAAAGGGGTCAGCGGCTGGGAAGGGGAGAAGAAGGAAGCGGGATTGGGTAGAGGGAGAAGCTGGGCTGCAGTTCAGGCCACGCCAGCCTTGGCCATCCCCGTGGGTAGGCTCCGGTGTGAAATGGCCCATCATAATGATCCCTCTTGGGGCCAGATGGCACGGATTTTCTACCGTTACTGTGGCCAACCATCCTGGGAGGGGGTTCTGGATAACACATCTCAATGGCCATCACACGAGGCAAGGGTACCCTCAGCATTAGGGGACACGCGTGCATATTGCTGGTGGCGGAAGCCAAGAGGGTACTGGGAACAGCGAGCCCGAGGAAAGGCTGGGATGTTTAAGCCTGGGGAGGCGAAGACACTAATGTTGATGTGGTTTATTTTGTTGCTTAGAGATGGATGCTTGATTCTCCTTTGAGGGCGATTGCCCCTCAGTTGTGGGGAAGAAAAATGACCACAGCAAACCTTTTGGTTATGCCAAAGGGAAGCTGTAACTCTAACCCATCTGCATAATTCTTCATTGGAGGCCAGAATCGTACCCTCCCAGGAGGGGAACCTGGGGCTGGTGATGAAGGATAAACTATTGTTACCTCTCTCTAGGTCCCAAGAGAGTTTGGGGATAGGGGAGACAATGGTCAAAACCCTGCCAGGGTGAGTGGGTAGTGGGAGGAGGGCTCTACTCTGTGGCCTGGTCGACACCGGGAGCTACACTATTTTGTGTCGTTTCACATTTGCGTTTCGGCGTTACAGTCCTTTCCTTTTAGCCTCGTGTGGTCAGTACAATTTTGTCAAATTATATGAGAAGTTATATACTTCCGAAGTTACATTTATATCATGAAATTATATGGTGTCAGCAGTGCTCTGTGAAACCAAAGGGGGGATGGGCAGCATCCCTACCGGGGACAAAGCTCTTGACGCAGCTGGGAAAGGCCGGGCAAGGCCGGGAGGCAGTAAGCGCCGAATTCCAGTAGCCACAGGGCACCAGGGTGAAGTGAAGGAATAGTCTAGTCTGTAGGAATCTCCATCCCAGAGACGCGGGCTGGAGAACACGCTGTGGCGTGAGGTGGGGCTTTGCCACCATTTCAGGCACATCCGTGGGAGGTGCCGCCACGAAGGAGGAGCGCTTGGCTCATCTGAACATCCGTCCTGGAGGGACTGCAGTGGTTTCTCTAAATGCCATCCTATCCGGCCACTGCTTACATATCCGGAGTCAGCCTTGGGTGTTGCGTGTGTTGTTGAATTGGGGCCACTTTGGAGAGACTCCGCTCCGGTGCAAGTTAAACTCAGGTTTCCTCACCTGCCTCTTCCTAGCTGTCTCTTTATCCTCCTCCCTTCAGCACTTTTCGGGTAAACGTTGCTTTGATCAGGAAGCATGGTGTGCGGTAGAAGCTTGGCTTTGGAGTCACAACAGCTCCTATTCCATATTGAGTACTTCTTACTGGCGCAGATGCTGGCTTACTGCACACAGTACTTGCCTGCCCACACGCTGAGTCTCTACGGCGACTGCGTATAAAGTGGGCGCACTTGACTGCACTTACTCTATCTGCTGCTCGGATCGTCATCGATTTGACCAGGAAGGAACCTCTTTAAGCTGCTTCCGGTGTCCTTTTGAAATGACTTTATCTTTGACACCTTCCTTGATTTCTGGCACTACGTGATGTCTCAGGCTCATCTTGTGTCTTCTCTGCCACCGAACGAGATCTGCAAGTGGCCATTTTCCCGAGAAACTCTAATACCTTGCAGTAGGGATTGGAATTAGAGGCCCAGATCTGGGGGCTTTAGCATTTATTTCTACTGATCATTTTAGTTAGCACTGCATGACTGTGTACACAGAGCGAGTGTCTTCGTGCATTCATCCAAAGAACATCAGTGATGTATTGGTAAATGATAAAAGCAAATTGTGCAGCACTGTAATACTGTTTTGAAAAAAAAAAAAGTTAAAAGGAAATAGGCACATATCACAATGAGCCTAAGAAAGATGTAGAAGGATATGTACAAACTGCTAACAAAATTGTGGGATTTGGGAAGAGTTAGAATATTACTTTTACTTATATAGTTTAGTGTTACATGATTTCCTACAATGATTATATGTTACCTTATTTTGTATTCTGAGATCTGTTGAAATAATTTAAATCGCACACACACACACACACACACACACACACGGAGGGGTGGACTTGGGCGTACATAAAAAGTACTTGGGCTTCATTCCACTTTATTTTGTCTACTGTAAGCTCTGTGTATTGCTGCAAATTATCGTTGGGGCTCTGTTAGGGGGAAACGTGCAGGATGGAACTCATAACAGACCTTCATTCTTACATTGATGTCGGTCACATTAGCTTTGGAGAGGCTTATTTCAAATATGTGTAACTGTCTGGTAAAGTCACATAAGAAAGTGTTATTTCTACATGTTTCCATGTCTCCCCGTTCAGTAAAAATCGATTTTTGTCAGATTCTTAAGTTGGTGTACGAGTCCTCTCCTCTTTACCCGTGTCTGGTCCAAGGACATCTCATTTTCACGTTTCACTTCTGTGAAACGCCAGAAAGAGGGGTCAGTGGCGAATTCAGCGTCTCCGATTTGGTGATCCAACGTAGTAGCCACATGAGGTCACTCAACTAAAATGTTCTCTGCCACAAAACACTCTGTGTTTTGTCCTGTGATAACTTGCAAGCCTTCTCAGTAGAACAGAGGAAAACAGGCCCAAGGCTGGTTGAGGAGGAGGTGGCCAATTTCTTATAGAAAAGAGACTTTACGCCCGATGTAAGTATTGTATTGAGAAATTAAAGTTTGTAGGTGCTGTGAATTTTTATTAACAAGTTGTAAATGCTCTATTTATGAAGATGCTAACAAGCACTCAATTAGGGTCTAAAACACTACCCATTAAATCTCCAATAATTTAAATGTAATGATTTAGGATTAAGGGGACGAGGACATTTTTTTAAAGCTCTTTTTAGTGAATCTTTTGGAAGAGGTATTTTGCCTGATATAGTTTGTCCTAGTCATCCTCAGTGAACACTTAGTTGGTAGTTTTACATAGTTCGCTTTCCATCTTCTTTCCGGTGGAGACCACGCAGCGTAGTGAAAACTGCTCAGGCTGGTGTTAGGTGTGGGTTTGAATGCAGCCTCGCTCAAGTTATCCAACACTTCAGGAACTCGGCTTTCTCATCTCTGAAACAGGGGGGAGAACATTGTCGCGAGGGTTCAATGACAGAATATATAAAGGAGCTCGAGCGCCTATTTAGTAAATGATAGTCATTAACATACTGAAGTAAAAATTTCATAGTTTTCTGTTTCTAAAGAGGGAGCCGATGAATGGATGCGATGAAATACTTGCATAAATGAGGACAAGAGGAGAAATTGTGAAGATGCTGGTGAGAGTGAAAGACGTCTGGCAGAGAAAGACAAATACCAAAGGATTTCACTCATATGTGGAATTTAAGAAACAAAACAAGCAAAGGGGAGAGAGAGAGGGGGGGAGAGGGAGGGAGGGAGAGAGAAGCCAAGAAACGGACTCTTAACTATAGAGAACAAACTTCATGGTCACCAGAGGGGAGGGGGCCGGGGGATGGATGAACTAGGTGAGGGGGGTTAAGGAAAGCACCTTTGATGAGCACCAGGTGATGTATGGAAGTGTTGAATCACTGTGTTGTACACCCGAAACTAATATAATACTGTTTGTTGACTAACTGGAATTAAAAATGTTAGAGAAGAAGGCCATTCCCCGTAATACATTGAATCATAGCTGATATTACAGAGAATATGTCAGTATTTAAGTGAGCCCTCACATTTATCATAGAACTGCGTTGTATAATGAATTATTTATAACCATGGTTCATACTTTTACCAAAACAGAATAGATTTTCCTCGGGGACATTCAGAGCAAACATACCTTCTCAATAGTCATCTTATTTCCTTCAATCCAATTAAACTAATTGTTGCCAATTCATAGGAAATTCGGTTTGAAGAAAACATTTATAATTTGGGGAGGTCATTCGTTGGAACTTCACAAAAGTAGAACACAGATTAATAGAGAAACAGTTTCCAAACCAATGTCTGGGATTTTGTTTGGAATTATCCTCAAAACCCCAATTCTGGAGCTTAACTGGTAATATCAAATGACTTTCCATGTCAATTACTCCTTCTATCCCCTCCTTGTCCTTCTGTTCTGCCAAATAATTTTTCCCTCTAAGTATGGTATTATTCATTCAACAGAACCCCCATGAATGTGAAGCAGACTGAAAACTCACACAGTGTCAGAGGTGGAAACACCAGCTCATATTTTGGATTGTGTTACGGTGAGCTATGGACTACACATGGTACTCCATTCGTGTTGCGTCCTTTTGGAAGGTCTTATGTACCACCGACACATGAAGCCAATTGTGCCTTCCTGGAGTCGGAAATGTCACATGTTTCAAGAAGGAGTTCTTTGTGCTAATATTTGAAATGCAAACTCCTTTGTGTGCTATCCTACCCCACCCCACCCCATTACTGGTATGAAGCTATATATTTCAAAAATGTCTCGCTTATGAATACCAGGCAGAGAAAGCATGCACGTAAGCATTTAGAAAGGAAAGAAGCAGACTAAACTGGATGAAGAGAAGCATAAATGAATTTTGGAAATCCTGTTTGTTTTTCCAAAGGAGATTCCCTGGTTCTTTTGCTGCTCCGCTCCTCCTAATCCTTCTGGAGTCATTTTAGAAAGAAAGAAAGAAAGAAAGAGAGAGAGAGAGAGAGAGAGAGAGAGAAAGAAAGAAAGAGAAAAAGGAAAAGAAACATGGGAGAAAGATGACATTTCAGTTTTCATAATGTTGTAGTATTCCTTTCCTGTCCTTTCCTGTCTTTGTGTTTTTCTTTTCACGTTGAACAAATACTTTTTGTTGTATTTTGCCTAATTTCCTTATGAATTTGCATTTTCAGCACTTGGCCACTGTGAAAACATTTTATAAAATAATGTAACCTATTACTGAGGTTCGGATCTTGCCTGTCGCTATCACTAATGCCTGCCATTTCCTGTTGGGCGTGCCTTCCCTTCCCCTACTCCACGCAAGCAGATCCCTCCCACTTTCTTGCCTGTCCCGAAGACTATTGCACTTCTAGGATTAGTTTCACTCTTGTTACTGACTTTGGAACCTTTCACAATTTTGTTGCCCACCACTCATATTTCAGTCCTTAAGGAGATTCTGCAATAAGTAATACTTTTAATCTATAGCCTGTCTCTTTGCAAATGGATTCATTTTATTTTATTTTATTTTATTTTATTTTATTTTATTTTATTTTATTTTATTTTATTTTATTTTATTTTATTTTATGCTTCATTTTAAATCCTATTATGAGCCAGGTCACAGGCAAATTAGCCAGGTTTGCCATATATGTAATTTCTGAGGAAGGGGAAACTGTTGGATTCCCAGTATAATTGTTCCCATGAATTTGTTAAGGGCTAAACTTACCTATTTTGTTTTGTGCATCTTCAATCATTTTCATCTAGCTGTATTTATTTTGTCTGTTGCTAAATTTATGCAAAGATCAAACCATCAGATGAAACAAAGAGGAAAATCAAAGAGTTTCCTTCCTCTCCCCACCTTCTCTTTTGCCACTTAGGCTTTGCCAGTTACTTTTTAAAAAATATTTATTTTGAGTGAGAGAGAGAGAGAGAGAGAGAGAGCATGCATGCAAGCAGGGGGAGGGGCAGAGAGAGAGAATCCCAAGTAGCTTCCGTGCCATCAGCCCAGAGCTCGACCTGGGGCTCCATCTCACAAACTGTAAGATCATGACCGGAGCCGAAATCAAGAGTCGGACAAGTAACTGACTGAGCCCCCCAGGTGCCCCGTATGCTTTGCCAGTTCTATTACTAAAGGGCAGGTCAAATCAAGGCAGGAATCATTAGCTGCCTTTGTAAAAAAAAAAAAAAAAAAAAAAGAGGGGGGTTGCCTAGTTCCTCTGAGAAGGGAGGGTGAGTCTCTCAAAGGGAGGACCCACTCTCCAGACCAGCATAAATGCATAAAATGTGAGAATTAGTTTTGCCTTAGGATTTTGGATCATTTCTTTTCCTGTTTGGTAGTAGAGTGAAAGAATCGCTTTTAACATCCATCTTCTCGTTGTCGTGGACTTGCTTTTCTGTCCCTTTCAGTGTGTCACTCACTTCTCTTTAGCGCATTAACTAGAGGAGAAGTGTATCTGGAAAAAATTTAGTTGGGATAGACCTTGTATCAAGCAGTGAAATGAAATTAGGGGATTATCGTGTTTATTCAAGTTATTACCAGCTCCTAATAACACACACACATACTCAGTTGAAGTAAGAGTTGACTGCCTGCAAACGGCAGAGGTTCAAACAGAATGTTTAGGACCGGGGCGCCTGGGTGGCTCAGTCGGTTGAGCGTCCGACTTCGGCTCAGGTCACGATCTCACGGTCCGTGAGTTCGAGCCCCGTGTCAGGCTCTGGGCTGATGGCTCAGAGCCTGGAGCCTGCTTCCGATTCTGTGTCTCCCTCTCTCTCTGCCCCTCCCCTGTTCATGCTCTGTCTCTCTCTGTCTCAAAAATAAAGAACTGTTAAAAAAAAAATTAAAAAAAAAAATAAAAGCCTAGCCTTTAAAAAAAAAATGTTTAGGACCTAAGTGGATATTAAGATCACATTTTTTTTTCCCTTCTGGATTATATGCTATTGTGCCTGATTTAGGATTATTTCCATTCCTAGTGACAGAAAGCCAATTCAAACTAGATAAAGAAAAAAACCCAGAGTGTATTGCTTTATGTAACTTAGAGAAAAGAATTCGTTCTTCAGGCATGGTAGGATCCAGGGACTCAAATGATGTCATTAGGAGATACATATGTGTGTCTTTCTTTTTGTCGATCTAATCTTTTCTTTTTTCATTTTCAAGGTCTTGTAGGTTTTGATACTTTTCATTGTGATAAAATATATATCACATAAAATATGCCATTTTCACCATGTTAAGTGTACAATTCACTGGCACTCACCACATTAACCGTTTGTTTGCAAATCTTCTCCATCACCCTAAATGGAATCTCTGTAACCAATCACAAAGCAGTAAGTCCCCATTCCCCTCTCCCCCAGCCCCTGGTAACCTCTAATCTCCTTTCTGTCTTTACCAGTTTGCCTGTTCTACATAGTTCATGTCAGTGGAGTCATACAACATTTGTTCTTTTGTTTCTGGCTTATTTCACTTAGCATAATGTTTTCAAGGTTCATCCGTGTCCTGGCAGGTATCAGTAATTGATTCATGGCTGAATAATATTCCATCATAAGGATAGTCCACATTTTATTTATCCATTCATCTGTTGATGGACATTTGGGTTGTTTCCATCTTTTGGCTCTTGTGAATACTGCTGGGACAAACATTGGCATACAAGTATCTGTTGGAGTCCCTGTTTTCAGTTCTCCTGGAATATAGCTGGGGTGGAATTTCTATCTACTCTTGATTCCTCCTTCCTCTCTGTGGCTTTATCCTCAGGTAGACAAAGGCAGTTTGTTCCTTACTCCTTAAGTTCCTCAAAGATGGGAGAGATTTTCTCTCCCATTGTCTATATTAACCCCTGAAGAGAAATTCTGATTGTCCGTATTCTGTTATCTACCTTTGGATGGGTCACTCTACCTAGGGAAAAGCTCCTTCATGACTGTGTGATTAACAGCCCACTGGGTGGGAGGGCAGGTCTCTACAGAAAAGGGAGGCTCAGCTTCTAGATACTTCTAGATGCCAGCAGGCAAAAGGTAAGAGATGTCCACTGCAGTCTCATTCCTGATGTGGGCAGAAAACTCATCTTTGCTGTTTATCAGGGACCTTTGGACGAGTGAAATAATTTAAGAATGACATAGTTGGAGTTTTGACAAGAATGAGGGAAAACACACTGGTAATGCTGCTGATTGGAATACTAATGCTATGACCTCTTGGGAGAACATCTTGATGATATCTAGCATGGCTGAAAACGTGCATTTTGAACCAGCAGCTCTGCCTCCATAGAGTCCCAGGAAAACCTCTTCTACGCTAGCCTCGGGAAACACGGGCAAGACTGTTCTTTGTGGCATTGTTGGTAATTGTGAAAAATGGAAAGCCCCTGAAGGTTTCGTCACTGGCTAAAAGATAAATTAAAGTGTATTTCTAGAATGAAATGTGATGCCACCGTTAAAACTGATCTCGATCTATAGGTATCAGAGTAGATGGGCTCCAAAGTATAACACTGAATGAAAAAAAGATCAAGTTGTGGTATCTTAAGTGCTGAATTGATGGCATTTATTTACATATTAGAAAACATACATGACGACGTTCAGTAGTGGTTTAGGGTATATGTGTATAAAATAAAAGTATAAAACCATATGCCAGATGGGTTCCCAACAAATTAAATAGTTCAGGCAAATGGGACAAGGGAAAAAAATCAAGGGGATTTCATTTTTTTCCACTCTGCTCCTTTTGTCCCATTTAAAAAAAGATTTATTTATTTAAGTGATCTCTACACCCAAAGTGGGGCTCGAACTCATGACCCCGAGATCAAGAGTCACATGCTCCACCGACTGAGCCAGCCAGGCACCCCTGTTTTTAAAGTTTACAAAATTAGCTCACTTAAAATGACTAAATGTGAACAGTTGTTTAATTTCATCTGGTTGGTACTGTGTTGTTTTCTTCACGGGTCTATATTTTTTTCAAGCTTTT